ATTTAATTAATAAAAAAACAACTGGAAAATGCTATTGATCACGTAATATTCAATAAAATTAAAAATATATAGAATTATCAAAACAACTTATATTTTAAAATATACTAAAAATATCCAAAACAACTTTTATTTTGAAACGGAATAAATATTTTCTTTTAATATTCACTACCCATGCATGTCCTCACTTTTAATAATTTCTTCAATTAATACGTAACAGTTTTATCAAATTTTGTTATGATTTTATGAAAATTTAGATTTTCTAAACATTTAAATTGGTTTCTTGCCAAACAAAAAATGAAAACATGAAAACAAAAGCAATCGATAAAATGTAGTTATGTACGGTTTTTGGTCTCCTGATTTACTCAAGTTTAGTTGGACCTACAAAAACTCTTTACCGAATCCATACTTAACATACTCTGTGCATATGGTTGTGTTTTTTTTTTTAAGAAATAAAACAAGTTGAATATTTGATTCAGGTAAATTTTGATATAGACAAAAAAATATGTGGAATAAAAACGAAAGAAAAATACTCGTCTCAAAATTTATAGAACCATTAGTGAAATAAATAAAATTTCCAAATCTCCATATATATTACATTAATCTGAATTCCATTTATTCATCTCTTGTACACCATTTCACCCGGTGGAAAAATTCCAACTTGGCTAAGAAAAAATTGTTTCAAGTTTAAATGCTGGCATGTCATTATACAAAAGTAATGAACTCGTATATGTCGTTTCATTAATAGGCGGTTCTGTTTACGTATGCGATGTCTGAAAATATCTGTGAACACACACCCATGCTTGTTTAATTTATTTTTAAAACATGATCTCTCCACTATACGTAAGTCTTAATAAAATAACAATCCAACTTTTATGATTCTCGAGGATATCAACGCGTCTCTTTTGTCACGTGTATACGAACGGAAATTTCTCTTTTGTCACGTGTATACGAACGGAAAACCCCTAGCTCAGTAGCTTCCAACCTTGTATATGTTAATGTTGTTTTTTCCATTCATCGGTACACATTATTTTAATTTTATCGAAAAAAATCTATACCAAAAAAATAAAGAAACAAACATAATTCTGGAGAGGAGTTTGCCATAAGATGAACGCTTCCAGACACAGAAGCCGAGGAGCCGCCGCTGCCGCCGCGAAGATGTGTTTTTATCAACGATCTCCACGCTACTCCTAGGGAGTACCGTTTGCTCCCCCTAGTCTCGGATTCAGGCTTGCAGAATCCAACGAAACGTGCTATCTTTTTCTCAACTTCCGGGCTCGAATTGCCTTGGCATCATACTTCACTCTCCGTTGATCACCATGGCTACCGACGAGGTCCTTGTATGCTCTGCACTAACTTTCCGAAGCCCTCCACCGCAGCATAAGCTCATTCACCGTCATATCCGACTCTCTCCGTCGGAATCTCATCAGATCCGAAGAACTGCTCCCTCACTCCGCCAGCTATCGAGACTTCTCGGGCTTCCTATGCCTTGGTATTCTCCTCAATTTCCGTCGTTCTCCAGGGATATCGACGAGATCTCGGCTTACTCGGGCCTAACCTTCCGTCGACCGGTTCAACCATCGGCGCGCTCTACGCTAGATCGGCAAGACATGCTCTTTCATAGTCACATCCTACGCTCGCCGCCAGATTCATCTCTCCTTACTGTGTTGATCTCCGATTCAAGTCCATGTATGTCACGGAGGATCCGATGTCCTTCCCCTCCGTCGTTTCTCTGGTACGAGCTTTCTATTGGTTGGGCCTGGCCCATTAGAAATCTTAGCCTTAAAAGGTCTGTTTCCATGCCTTCAAAGCCCACTTTATGTGCTGTTTTTGTGCTTTGTATTTTTGTCAACCTTAATCTAGCCTATACCTCATCGAGGATGAGAAAAGTAAAGATGGAACTTGCGGGGAAAGTCACTATGCTTACCGGAGATTTCTTCGCCGAAAAAGCTCTTGTACCGTCGATTGCTACAACCCTCCTCAACCATCCAGCGTAATGGATTGAGAGTGGGGTTGGGCTTTTATAATGATCAAATGGACTATTCAAAGCCCTTAGAATTTGGGTTCAATTGGAGCAAGTTGCTCACTAAATATGGCCCAACCTCTATAGTATTAAAAATCAGATTTTTTAAATCTTACATGCTTTTGAGCCTAGTGGCTTCTCTTTTTTTAGAAGTCCAAAGTTTTCTAAATTCTCAAATTCTGTAATTTACTCCCGGTGGAAGAGTTCAATTCCATTTTCTTCCATCTCTTTTGTGAGACTCGTCGTATTTTCTTCCCTCTCTTGGAGAGTGGTCGAATTCTCGAGCTATATGCCGGGATTTTCAAAGTCACAATGGAAAGTGACTACCCTAAGACTCTCCGACCTTGCCGCGAAAACCCTCCTGACGCATTCGATACATGTTTTGGATCCGCTGTCCATCTTCTACGATGATTTATCTGCTTTATGTTTTATCGCATTTCAATTATGTTGTATTAATGTTGGAGGATGCTTAATTCCCTCCCTTTGTACTTTGATCGTTTAAATGAATGAAAAACTTGTTGANAAAAAAAAAAAAAACTAAGAGCATCCACAATGGATATAAACTATATGAATCTTAAAAAAAAATAG